TAAGGAAAATTGATACTTTCAACTTTTTCCCAAAAATATTTTTTGGAAACTTTGATTTTCAAGGAAAATTGATACTTTCAACTTTTCCTCAAAAACCTTTTTTTGAAATTTTATTTTTAAGGAAAATTGATACTTTCAACTTTTCCTCAAAAATATTTCTTTTTGAAAATTTTTATTTTTTTGCAAAAAATTAAAATAAAATAAAATAAAAATAAAAATAATACTCCTGAAAATAACTAACACAAAAAAAAATAAATAAATAAAATACCAAAAAGAAAAAGATTATCTTGGCTTGAGGAATTCGACGCGGCTCCACTAGATTGTCCATAGCCTTCACCAATTTGACACGATCTCCCCCATTTTTCACGAAGGAAATAATGGCTTGAAGTGTTGCTGAACATAACCATATACTCCCATTTGGTTGCCATACATTTGTTGAGGATACATAGGAGCCGTTTGCTGTGGAAGTATGTCCATATACTGTGCTCCCAGAACTGGTTGAGGATGAAAACCAGCAAACCGGTTTCCCTGAACAGCCTCGTTATTAATTGCTGACAAATGACCGGTTGTGATTGGCTGAATGTACATACCCACCACCTGATCGCTTCTCATATGTTGAGGTCCTTGAGGTTGGCCATGTGTTACACTAACTTGAGTAACCATTGACTGAGGATATTGAGCACCCGCAACTGGGCTAGAGTCTGCTGCCTGTGCTTCCCATAGTGGTGGTGGTAACAAGCCACTTCTCTGAGCACCATAGACAGGTGAAGAGGGCTGCTGTTGTAGAAACAATTGACCATTCCAGGCAGGACCTGTGCCTTGAGCATATGACTGCTCATATCGAGGTGATCCCGTGTTTGGTGCAGCTCCAGTCGCATGAAAACTCTGCTGCTGCTGAGTAGGCTGTCGTCTCTGGTCTGTAAAATTCTCATCAACAACCTTCGCTCCCACAAATGGACACCAACCGGTTCTTCCAGAAATCGACGAAGCTCCAACACCGTCGCCTCTGCATGCCGCTACAACCGCCCACCGTTGATGCTGAATATTCACCATGAACCTCCCTTCGACCTACTCATCTCCTATTTATGGTCGGTTTCTCACCAACCATCCTCCAACAGCGTAGATCTAGAAAGGAATCTGTGAACTTTCTTCACTGTTTTGGTTCCTTTCACTGTCCGATCATTCTGGGTTTTGAGTACGTCAGTGGCCCCTTACTGCTCTTCATTTTTATTATTTTTGATCTCCAAAAGCTCAACGTTCGCTATGGTTTGTCCATCTAAACCCGAAAATTGGGTGTTAACAGAATCAGAGGTGTTGTTACTATCAGAGAACATATCAAAGAGAACAAGGGCATTCTGCTGTGATGTAGGAGTTGTTTGTTGTGTTGTTGCTGATCGGTTCTATCAATAATAAATCATGGTTCTTCGGACTGTGCATCTGCTTCTCCAAAGTCCCATATCCATCAACACATGGACGAAACACGATCAGTATGAACTCTACTGTATAGGTAGAAGCACCATCCCCGGGAAAGATAAAGCCACGCTAATAGTTTGGAAGAAGTGGATGAGTCTCCGATCTACGAATCGATAAAAGCCAGAAACTCAACCTAGCTTAAAAAAAACCTATGCCGCCAATCGTAGATCTAACAGCTATGTCCAGATCTAACTCCATCTCCTCATCGGTCTTGAATTCTGTCTCTCAACAAGGAAAGAAGACATCCAGCCTAATCTGTAGGAAAATCTGAACCAAAAGGCTGTTGCTTTCGATCCACAATCTCGAACTGGGGCGAATGAAGAAAGCTACCTTCATAAAGCATAAAGAAAGACAGCTGGATTGAGTTCCACAGCAAGGCCCAATTCGTCACAGTCCATTGCCGAAATGACTGTGATCTCTTTTTTTTTTTTTTTGGCCCCCTCTCCTATTCGGATTCCTCTTCTCCCTTTTTTCCGTCTCCCCCCAAACTGTGAATCCCCCCACCGATTTATAAAACCATGCTGTTTTTTATAGAATTTCAGTTCCATTCCACTTAGTCATCCAATGCTAAAGATTAACCACTAGTCATGCTTTCTGATCATCATCCAACTTAATCTCAATCTTTCTTTTTTTAAAAAAAAAAATTAATCAGATAATAAAAAAAAATGATAAATATGAAATAAAAAAAGTCTAAAATAAAAATGACTAAAAATCCCTGCAACTGAACTTGGATTAATCTCAATTGACAAAAAATTCTGAACAAAATGGGATGTCTACACCCTTTACTTGTACTAGGGCTTTGCCCTTCTGATGTAACCAAAAAATGTTATGTATGACAAATATGTTATATATATATATATATATGTATGTCTATTGTTTAAGATTTAGTGATATAATTTAATAAAGAATTTAGTTAACTTTCGATTTTTTTTAAAGTTTAAATTAAATAAATTTAACTATATATAAAATAAATTTATAAAATAGGAGCAAATAATTAAAAAATTATCAAAAACTTGATGTACGTGTCTTCAACACCTTATTCCTGAATTAAGTCAACCACGTAACATACCCAGAAAACAAATAATAAAAATTGGATAGCTTACCATGGGCAAAGTACATAATTGCACTTTTAGGCTTTGGTTTCTTGCTAATTTCAAAAGTTTGGTACACTGACAAATTTCTTGTACAAAAAATGGCAACTTCTTTTTTGTGTTTTATCCTCAAATTTCTTGAGACAACAAAACCTGTATGTTGTTGCGTAAAAATGCATTGCAAATCCACACAGGTACAAAAAGAAATGATATTGAATCACTCCAATGAATTTGCTTAACTATCACCCATCATCTTTACAAGGATGAGCTTTGTCTGATTATAGTTCCTTTAATTTTAGCCATCGGTTGGGGCAACTTTTTTCACTTTTGGAGCTACTTTCCCATTTGGCAAAGCAGATTTCACAAAGGCTGGAACTTTCATCTCTTTCTCTGATTTGCTTTATTGCCTGAAATTAGTTTTCCCTAGGTGGATGGGCTGAGAATGAACCTTGACCTCCGAGGGCCTCGCGGCAATCCGTCGCTTTATCCCGGTCCAAGCGATACTGGCTTGCACTTCCCTTCAACTGCAAATCAACACAATTGATTTTAATTCCCAACATAACATCAAAGTATCCAAGTATCAGGCTTGAACTTCACAGTTCCTAAACTGATGAGAGAAGGCATCAGCCATGGCTCTTTCCCATTTAACTGCTGCTTCTTCTCTCTGTTGAATTGTGGAAAGAATTTCCTGCGTGTTTTCAGAGCCACCCCACCATTCCACCTGTAAACAAATCTAATCTATATGAACGGCTTGATATGTAAGAATCAGAATGCGATGAATTTTCAAAGTAAAGATATTTGTATTATCCTACAAACTTCTATTGCTCGGGCTGACCTACGGGGCGTAACTCTCCATTAATGTAAAAAGATTAATGCGATTTGCAAGTTGACGACTCAATTTATTAAGGTGTTACTTGTTTATTTAATCTTCTATATACTCCTATGGAGCCAACGCAAAGAAAAACCTACGATGGCAGTTAATTTGTTCCATGCAGTGAATTTAACCCCGAAAACAACATAATCCTAACTTGCAGGTGCCATTGATTAAAGCTTTCACACCAAAATTGGTTGAAAAAAATCTCATGTAGCTTTGTATTTGTGAGACCCGTACTCATCCCCACAGGATCAAGAGGAGACTCTCACCGAGAAAAAATGAGGTATTTTGTAGTTTGATCCAAAAAATCTTATGGTTCATATTACGGGTTTAAATTTATACAAATATTCCATAGAGGATCTTCACAAATCCTCATTATTAGTGTGAGATTAAGAGGGCATCACAGTCTTCAACCTGCATTTTTTTTCTCCAATTAAATTAGGCAAAACACTGCCTCCGATATAGAAATAGAAATGTTTTTACATTTTACTAAACTTCATAGTTCAAGTTAACTAGAGGAAATGTTTTTTTTCCTTCTTTATAGATATGGAGATATATAAAAGCCTTTTTAAGAAACATTTTAATTTGGTACCACTGCTTTACTAGATAATTAGAAGTAAGTAAGCAAGTAGGTAATAGTCATTAAGTAGGTACCTACAGTTCATGAAGCTTAGCCTCAAGTTTCAACTAATTTTCCATTTTCTTCTGCTTAAACCTACCTTCTGTAACCATATTCGTATTCTCCGGGTTCTGATTTGAGACTGTACATTGCTCCAGGAATGTAAATAGCTTAGTGTGCTTAAAGTTTGCTTTTTGACTGTATGTCCCTGGATCAATATATTGAATCTACCGGCATCTCTCAGCCGACAAATTGCTTTTCTTGCACAAGAATATGTAATAAAAAGATGAAATCATTAAGCAGCAGAGATGATAGGAATTATTAAGAACAATATCAGAATCTGTACATTATGTATGTATGTATGTTTGTATGCTTACATACATAAGTATGTATGGATGTATAAAATGCATGTGAGCTTGACAGTTCTTAATGGTGTAAGGAAAACTGTTGTCTTTCTTATCCAAGTTCCCTCTTAGAAATGCTTATAGTAATTTACAATTTGCATTATAATGTTTGGTTTATTCCATCCGAATAAATTATGGCAGTGAAAATGTAAATTAATTATTGTTAGTGTGTTAGTGGTTGAAGCAACTAGGTATGGCATTTCTACTAGCACTTTGTAACAGGTTTTGCCATCTGATCAGTTTAGGTAATATGATGGATCTATGCATGGTGATCCATACTGTTAGGCAAACAACTTTTGTAGTAGTTAAATAAACTTTTGTATTTTTGAAGCCTATAAATTAATGAAATGAAGCTCATGATCTATAGAGCCAATTTACTTCAAGTGACAGATTAGTATCTTCTGTTTTTTTGTTCTTCCTCTGCTTTAAATCCTTCAATTGGTATCAGAGCATTCTTTAAGGTCTTAGAGGACCTGTGAGTTCCAAAAATTGAGTGAAAAGCCATCAAACACTTACCAGCCAGCTTTTGTCAACCTTAAATGGCCTCAAGCAATTGCTCCTTACCTCCACCTCCTATTTTTTCTGGTGAGAACTACCAGATATGGGCTGTCAAAATGAAAACCTATTTGAGTGCTTTTAATTTGTGGGAAGTGGTGGAAAATGAGAAGGAACCACCACAACTTCTTGCAAATCCAACAGTAACTCAAATGAAAAATTATAGTGAAGAAAAAGTAAAGAGGTACAAGGCTAAGAGCTGTATTGAGTCTTTAGTTTCTGATGACATATTCATTAGAATCATGACTTGTGAAACTACAAAACAAGCTTGGATGTGCTTAAGGAAGAGTTTCAAGGTAGTGACAAGACAAGACAAATGCAAATGTTGAATCTTAGAAGAGAGTTTGAAGTCTTAAAGATGAAGGAGTCTGAAAATTTAAAAGAGTACAATGATAGACTCATGAAGATAGTAAACAAGATTAGATTACTTGGTGAGGAGCTGTCAGACAAAAAATTATAGAGAAGGTTCTTGTTAGCTTACCAGAGAGGTTTGAGTCAAAAATCTCATCCTTTGAAGACTCCAAGGACTTGACCAAGATAACTCCAGCAGAATTGTTCAATGTTTTACAAGCTTAAGAGCAAAGAAGGGCTATCAGACAAGAGGATTCAACAGAAGGTGCTTTTACAGCCAAGGAGAAAGGCAAGATGCAAACAGAAAGCAAAGGCAGAAAACAAGGAGATCAAAGAAACAAAGTTTCTAGAAACAATGAAAAGAAAGGAAAATTCCCACCTTACTCTCACTGCAATAAGACCATTCACTTGGAGAAATATTGTTGGTACAGACCTGACATACAATGTAGGTACTGTAAGCAGCTTGGTCACATAGAGAAGGTATGTAAAAATAAAAAACAGCAGCAACCAGATCAACAACCCAGAGTTGCTGACAATCAACAACAGCTAGAAGAGTAAGTTTTTGTTGCAACTTGCTATGGAACCAGAACCTCCTCAAGTGCATGGCTCATTGACAGTGGCTGCACACACCATATGGCATCTGATATCAACATGTTCAAAGAACTAGACAAGACCTGTACCTTTAAAGTCAAAATAGGTAATGGTGATTTCATAGAAGTCAAAGAAAAAGGAGTAGTGGCAGTTGAGACACCAACAGGTACCAAACTCATTTCAGATGCGTTATTTATGCCTAAAATAGATCAAAACCTATTAAGTGTAGAACAGTTGCTAGAAAATAACTACGCTTTAGTTTTCAAAGACAAGGCATGCATAATTCATGATCCTACTAGCCATGAACTCTTTACTGTTACTATGAAAGGAAAATGTTTTTCTTTGAATTGGCATGAAGCAAACTCCTTTACATATGCTACTTCACATGATGAATCTTCTTTATGGCATAAAAGGATGAGACATTTCAACTACAATGCATTGAATTTCATGCATAAAAATGATCTTGTATTAAACATGCCTACTGTTGAAGTCAGTGCTGGAATGTGTGAAGTCTGTCAGCTAGGAAAACAAAGTAAGTTGCCATTTGCAATTAACAAAGCATGGAGGGCAACTGAAAAACTACAACTTGTTCATACTGATGTTTGTGGTCCTATGAGAACCTTGTCCTTGAATGGCAGTAAATATTTCATTGCTTTTATAGATAATTTTACCAGAATGTGTTGGATTTACTTCATGAAACAAAAGACTGAAGTTGCAAATGTATTTTGGAAGTTCAAGGCTTGGATTGAGAATCAAAGTGGCTGCAAAATCAAGATCATAAGGTCAGACAATGGTACTGAATACACATATGATAGATTTAATGAGTTTTATGAAGTTGCAAGAATTGAACACCAACTGATAGCAACTTACACTCTACAACAAAATGGAGTCAGTGAAAGAAAGAATAGAACAATCATGGAGATGGCAAGATGCATGCTGTTTAAGAAGAATCTTCCTAAGAAATTTTGGGCAGAGGCAGTCAATACCTCTGTCTACTTGCTCAACAGGCTGCCCACAAAAGCTTTGAAGGGAAAAACTCATTTCGAAGCCTGGTATGGAACCAAACCATCAGTGCACCACCTCAAAGTTTTTGGCAGCATCTGTTATGTGTTTGTTCCTGATATCAAAAGGGACAAGCTTGATCAAAAAGCAAAAATATGTATTTTTTTGGGCTATAGCATCTTCACCAAAGGCTATAGGACTTATAATCCACTTACAAGCAAGATGATTGTAAGTAGGAATGTAAGATTTAATGAGCAAGCTGCCTGGAATTGGGAAAAGTCAAAGGAAAAATCAGTCAAGCAAACTACTGCAGACATGATAATCTTTCAAGATCAAGAAGATTATATGTTTGAAAATGAAATCATTGATCATGAACCAGTGAGAGGAATCAGACCACTCACAGATATTTATCAAAGATCAAATGTTGCCATTCTTGAACCTACAACCTTTGAAGAAGCTGTCAAATTTTCAGAGTGGAGGAATGCCATGAAGGAGGAGATTCATATGATTGAGAAAAATCAAACATGGATGCTGGTTGACAGACCAAGCAACAAAAACATCATTGGTGTTAAATGGATTTTCAGAACAAAGTTGAATGCTGATGGTTCCATCAACAAACTTAAAGCTAGATTGGTAGCTAATGGCTACTCCCAACAGCTTGGTGTTGATTTTTCAGAGACATTTGCTCCAGTTGTAAGGTTGGATACCATAAGGCTGCTATTAGCCTTAGCAACTCAGCAAAGTTGGAAAATATACCAACTTGATGTCAAATCTACCTTCTTGAATGGTTATCTTGAAGAGGAGATTTACATTGAACAACCAGATGGTTTTGTTGCCAAGAGACATGAAGGCAAAGTTTATCTACTCAAGAAGGCTTTGTATGGATTAAAACAAGCTCCAAGAGTGTGGAATTCCAGAATTGATGATCATTTACTGAAGTTAGGATTCAAAAAAAGCCTCAGTGAAGCAACATTGTACATTAAAGTTTTTAAGAGTAATGATCTGTTGATTGTTTCTTTGTATGTTGATGATCTTTTGGTGATAGGTAGCAAATCAGCTCTTGTGGAAGATTTTAAGCTCCAAATGCAAGAAATTTTTAAGATGACAGATATGGGAGGAATGTCTTATTTTCTTGGAATGGAGATTCATTAAGACCAGCAAGAAATCTTCATTTGTCAAAGAAAATATGTAAATGAAATCCTAAATAAGTTTGGGATGGAAAATTGCAAACCAGTCAAAACTCCTTTGGCTCAAAATGAGAAACTTATTAAGGAAAATGGAGCTAATAAAGTTGATGGTTCTATTTATAGAAGCTTGGTTGGTTGCTTATTGTATTTGACAGCAACAAGGCCAGACATCATGTATGCTGCAAATTTACTCTCTAAGTTCATGCAAAATCCTAGTGAGTTGCATTTTAAGGCTGCAAAAAGAGTGTTGAGATATGTCAAAGGAACCAATGAACTTGGAATTTGGTTCAAGAAGAATGAAAGTTCAAGATTGGTTGGATTCAAAGACAGTGACTGGGCTGGCTCTCATGAAGACATGAAAAGCACTTCAGGCTATGTGTTTTTCATTGGATTAAATTTGTTCAGCCGGAATTCAAAGAAACAAGGAACTGCAGCTCAATCAACAGCAAAAGCAAAGTATATAGCTACTGCAGCTGCTGTTAATCAAGCAATTTGGCTAAGGAAAATTCTATTGGATTTGAGTCAAAAGCAAGATGATCCAACAAAAATTTTTTGTGATAATCAGTCAGTAGTTGCAATGGTCAAGAACCCTGTGTTTCATGGAAGAACTAAGCATATTAAGATCAAGTATCACTTTATTAGAGAAGTTGAAGCTGAGAATGAAGTGAAACTGGTGCATTGCAAGTCAGAAGATCAAATTGCAGATATTCTGACCAAAGCCTTACCAAAGGCAAGGTTTGAAACATTAAGGAAAAGTCTTGGTGTTTCCAGTAGAAATGCCAAGGAGGAGTGTTAGTGTGTTAGTGGTTGAAGCAGCTAGGTATGGCATTTCTATTGGCACTTTGTAACAGGTTCTGCCATCTGATCAGTTTAGGTAATATGATGGATCTATGCATGGTGATCCATACTGTTAGGCAAATAACTTTTGTAGTAGTTAAATAAACTTTTGTATTCTTGAAGCCTATAAATTAATGAAATGAAGCTCATGATCTATAGAGCCAATTTACTTCAAGTGACAGATTAGTATCTTCTGTTTTTTTGTTCTTCCTCTGCTCTAAACCCTTCAATTATGAGCTTAATGGTTAGTTGCATTAATGAAAAACCTAACACTTTGGATTGGTTTGTTCAATCTGAAGCAAAGGCAATGACATTTATTTATTCTTGTGGTTTGCCCCCAAATAAGAGTATGCTTTCATAAATTATCATTATTAATTTGTACTAATCTAATCTTAATGGATCCAACAGTATCTACCACTCTATGAATATGATCTATATTTGCATTTATTCATCTACAAAACCATCCCAATATTCAATCAAAAAAAAAAAAGCTTGAAAAACCACTGGATCATCCTTCAATTACCTTGTTCCAGGGAAAAATACATAGTCTGTCATTTTATCATGTGGATGACAGAAGTAAAATTGAAAAACTATTGATGCAATCATTCTTAAGAATAGATATCTAGTAGATCTAGGGTTCAAATCCCAACATCTGTAATTTCTTTTTCTACTTTCATGTTGCAACCTGCGTTGTACCCAAAAAAAAAAAAAAAAAAAAGCTATTGGTCTTCTCTTTTACTCCCATATAGTATAAAGTTAACTTGGAATAATAGACTAGCTAGACTAAAACAAATCATTGTTTCTCATTATGTGGCTAAACATAATGTTATTGCTTGTTTCCTAGAAATTACAAAGAAACAATGGTAGATGAGTCTCATTTTCTTATACAGAGAAGGGACAAAGTTAGCAATTTTACTCTTCTTAGGATGTAACCCACCAGGCAATGTAGATTAGAGATAAATGTGAAGTTTTGGTCCATTCAAGCATCAACTTCAAATATATGCTAAGGTTGTTGGGAAATAATTGTTGCAAAAAGATGTACCTGGATATAACTGCCTCATAAATTATCATACAGGTTAAATGCATTTTTTATGTTGATATGAATGACATGGCGATAAATTATTATACCCTTTATGCCCGAAAAGCCTTCTGAATTCGAGCAGCTGCTATCTCTACCATTGCCTGTCCAGGAAGACCAGTTGCTGGACTCCTTGCCTCTTTATTAGAATCATGACCCCCTTCACCACCATTTGATTTTTCATTAGCCGAGTGTACCTGTTTTGATGGGGGTCTGACAACAAATTAGTGATGAAGAATTACAGAAACAAGATCGAGGTACAGGCTGCAACATGCTCTGAATAGAGAAACATTTTTTTACAAAGGAAGCCATAGCATACTCTGAATAGAAAAACATTTAATAGTATGTTCACACACAATGAAAAGAATAAATAAAAAAGAAATAGAAGAATGAGAAAGTGAGAAATTTAAGGGAGAGGAGAGCCAATAAGATTGAGTGCTCTTGTAGATACTTTGTGTGACACCTCAATCCTACATCAGAATGTTGGAGGATCTGCTATGATATATAAGCCGAGACTTAAACTCATACTTGTGAGATGTTTTTTGTGGGACAAAACCATGAGAGTTTCATGTCTGCAAAAGCACAGCTGAAATAATGGTGCCCAGCAGTAACATAAGTACTGCTTTCAAGCAGATCCACCCAGGGTTTTCAACACTCTCAGCAACCTCAACACTTTGTTCCTCAGACCCCAACAAATCATGTACTCTCTTGGTTTGCTGCAAAACAATTTGAAGAAGTCAGTCTTTGTAAGTTATAATCTCTAGAGAAGTCGTCAATGCT